ATGACATTAGTGCTCCCTAACTCCAGTGGGAGAAAGTTCTCCCTCACCTGGACTACCTGTATGGTGAGAACCACCCCCTTTGGCTATGAAAAATGCACACCTTCGGATAGGGCGATCAAACGCGAGTGAGGGCATTGGGGGAGAGGCGCTGAAGTTCTATTGACGAAATGAATGAGCACAACGAGGGAGAGGGCGTGGGCATCTGAGCGAAAGACATGAGCAACGCGAATAAATGAAGAAGGGTGGGGGCATCCAATTTTAGGGACATTTCCGGGGATTTTAACCATCGAAAAAGTTTCACTTAAAAATGACATCTAAATCGTTGATAAAAGTCGCCATGTCAAGAAAATAGCGGAGGTTTTTCCGGCAGTCAGTTGACTGCCAGAAGTTCTGGTGGTTTAGTGTTTAATACTGACGATTGAATCGCCGGTTAATAGCGGCGATGCCGCCGGTAGTTCTGGCAGTCAACCGACTACCGGAAATATCATTGATATTCAATGAATTTCCTGTAGTGTCTATCAACGAGGGCAACATGGTAAGGAGAGAGTAAATTATCTCACTACTTATGTTCAAAGTGAGTACTCACGTCTTAATATACATTAATGATAATTGCTTCTGCTACACATGATGTATCAAGTACTATTATTATTTAACTTCTTATTGTTACTATTCTATGATTTTTTTATTAAAATTAATTGATCATGTTTAACTAGAAGACTTAAATTTCTACAAGAGATGTCATTTATCCTATGTCATGATGTTTATTATATAATTCAATATGAAATAATATGGAGAAGGAAAATGATATGATTTATATAGAATGCTTGTATATGCATGTTGACTGATGGAGCAAACCCCTTATGATACTAGCTGGGGATACAATGTACCCATACAAGTAAATAAAAAAGGTTATGTAAAAGGAAATAGAAATAGAGTACCTTCATTAATACTATTTTAGACGGTGGCTCCTATGATGATTGTATTATTTATGAAAAAGGACAAATATATGGATAAAAATATAGATAAATATATGACATGTATAACATTGATGGTCATGTTTAAAATGAATTTAAATAAAATTATTTTATATTTTGACATGACCATGCATATTGTTCTTAATGTTTTGGGTTACTGTAATTTAGAGGTATGATTTATTTATTGAGTTCTTTTATGACTCACTCTTAAATTTATAAATAAACATGTACAATTCATAGTTAAAATGAATAAAAGAGAAGATAATGCTTATTGTAAGCGCGGTGTAGTAGAAGAAGTGTATTTATAATATTTAACTTTGTTTAAAATTTTGAGGTTTTTAGTGGTTCTTTTAGTTTATTGAGATACTTTTAGATTAATAAAAAATTTAATTAACCGTCCGACCGTCTGTTTCTTCATTAATTCGAGTCTCCGGGTCAAGTTATGATAGTTAGTGATTTGTGCTCTGATTTGGATGTATTTTATGGTCACATTAAGGGAGTCAATGAGCATTGTGAAAAATTTGATATTTATCTCTTACAGACATAATACCATCATTTATGCTTTATCAACCTTTTTTCTTGAGGCATGTCATGCACTCATAATGTCATAATGAATATTACGATGAAGTTCATAATTGATAATTTTTATAAGGAAAATCATTTGGCTTTGAAGGCTTGCAGAAGAGTTGAATTTATTGGCATTTTTACAAAATCCATGTCAGCAACTTAGCCATAGTTGCCTATCTACCGAATGAAATTGGCTTTAAGTGGTGGGTTCATGCTTTCTTACCTAGAAACTGGTATAATTTGATGGCAACCAATGTTTAAGAGTGATTCAATGACGTTATCAAGATTGCATGCTTTTATTTTTTAAAAGATTGAATGCTCTTATACGCTAAGCTAAATATATTATTAGGGCTTTTAAGGCACACAATGTGGACATGCTTTTTTGACATACACATCATTTTAATGAATACAAAAGAAATTTGGCAAAAAAATCAAAGAAGCACTTGGAAAGCTTCGGAGTAAGGCCCAAAATTTATTTGTATGTGTTATTAATCAATTTGAACTACATGTCCTTGATCATGATTTTAACTGTGACATTGATTTGCGGGAGAGAGATGCATATGTAGAAAGTTTGATGTTTCCAGTCTCCATGAAAACATATGTTAATTATGGTTAGGGGCAAGGGTGTTGGTTATTTTAGCTTAATATTCAAAGTTCACTCGAGAAGTATGGTTGGAACTGTGTTGAAAATATATGTTGAGTCGACAGTGAAGACACTTCGGAGATTCAAGATGAAATAAATATAATTATCGTGTTACTCAATTAGTAAAGTCAAAGAGTGTCCATATAAAGAAAAATAGAAGGCCTTCTAAGAATGAGAATGATGTGGTGCAACATAGTAGTAGTCGATGTGGAGCGAGAGGTTAGAACTGTGTTACTTAAAGGTCAAGTGCCCACCGCTTTCATGATAATATTTTTTTACTCTTCTTGTTATTGCAATAATATTATAATTGCTTAGGTTTGATGTAATTCTTGAAGTCTGTACAATGATGTAATGCTTGTCATTGTGATGTGTTATAGCTATTAATTTATACTTAGTTGTACTTATCTTATAATTAGTTGTGTTATAGTAGTTGTGATTATTATACTTTGTTGTATCAACCTTATAGTCTGCTTTGTTAAAGTTGTTGAATGCTCACTCTTGTATCTATCATTGATAAACCTATTTGAGTCCTATTGAAACAATAATTGAATTGTCCTTAAATTTGGTTTGATCCTTGTTCAAATTTTGTTCGAATCGTGTTCAAACTAGTGTTGTCATGATGGGCTGTAAATAAATACTCCACGGTCAAAAGTTGGGGTATTTTGGTTCAATATGACATTTCCGGCATAGTTTTTCTCAAGAAAACAAACAACAAAAATATTTATACATTCTTTACTATTAGGAGCATATAAAGTTCAATTTATCTTTTAAAATTAATTTTAAATATTTTATGGTCAAAGAAAGGTAAAATTAAATCATCTTTGAAGCGATAAAGCTCTGCATATGGAGAGAATCCCATGTCAAGGTAGTACACTGAAAATTCAATATTTTTTTTTTAATTCATTTAATGTGAATTAAGAAGTGAAAGTATTTCCTTTTTAAATTATGAATCTATGAAAAAGGTCACATTTATTTAAATTTCTATTATAATTTATTCTATATACTGTAAACTCTTTTTTTATCAATCCATTCTCTCATTACTTAAAACAAACAGTCTAATTGAAAATAACTTTTTCCTCCTAATTTTTGAAAGATTTAGGCTATTCTTAAATCTTATTTTAAGTATTCTTGTTTTAATTCTTGATGAAATATTCCTTTATTTTATAAAAGTTTTAACTAATTATTATTTAAATTAATTTTAAATTTAATTTTTTAAATAATTTATCTAGTTTATCCTTTGAAATTAGATTATGCATTATCACTATCTTTGTTGCAATAAGAAAGTAGCCTCATACAATGAATACAATAACAACAATAATAAACCTTTTTTCCACTAGGGGCGTTGGCTATAATATATAAATGAACATTAATTTATTTTGAAATTATTATATAATACGCAATTTCTAGAATTGTAACAATAGTTTTTCTTTTTAAATTCTTTCTAGAACTGTAATGGTAGTATTGTTTTTTATTTCTTTCGGGCATTGTATGGTTTTTTTTCTCTTATTATGTAAGGATTATGAATTGAAAATAATAGTTTGCTATAAAATTTTCAAGCCTAAGAAAAAATTCAAAAAGATATAATTACATATATTGATAATAAAATAATCTTTATGCAAATAATAGTTTGCTATAAAATTTTCAAGCCTAAGAAAAAGTTTCAAAAACACACTATAATTATCTTATTTAATAGCATTCTTAATTGATCATGTTTTTTATTTTTATTCCACTAGAATAATAATATTCTTCTTTAAACTTATGTTTCATATCAACTCATAGGTTTTACTTATAACACTTTGTAGAAAGATTTAACTAACTCCCATTAATTTAGTTTTGGCAAATTCTAATATTTGAAAATCAGACATTATATTTTTAAAAAAATTCTGTAGTTCATCTATCCAATTTAAAAATACCACAAGATTATGCCTTTAATTACATGTTGGAATATTACTTGTAACTCAAGGTCTGTTAAATTAATTGACCTTGATATTATGTTCTACATTTAAAAGACATACTTAAGCTCCTATTTTGGACATGGTATAAGATGTTTTAGAGTTCTTGTTGTTATGGCATTGCAGTGGTTATTGTTTTTATGGATTTGCTTTTCCATAGTTTTTTGTTGTTTTTCTTTGATATTTTGCCTATATTTGGCTCCATTTAGTCATTAATGAACTGGTTAGTCTGCTTGATTCTCACTGTTTAGTAATGCACTTTCTTATTAATTTTTAATTTGATATGCTATAGATTTTTCATCTTTTATTTGTTCCATGTAAGTTATTGATTATGTTAGTGTCTTGCTACGCTTGGTCTGTTGTAAGTTTAAGATTGTTATTATTTTTTAGATACAGTTTTTGTTAAATAAATCATACGTTTTATTTGAGCTTTGCACTTAGGCTTCGTTTATTTTTTTGGTGCTTTTGTAAAAGACGGTTTTAAAAACATTAGTTCAGAAAATGGAGTTTTCTAACGGAGAAGCATATATAAAAGCTTTCTCAAAACTGCAGAAAAATGAAAAAAAAAAGAGTTATTGGGAACGTGATTTGACGAACCAAAAAAAAAAAATCCTCCGTCTCCAAACGGAAAAGGCAAAAAAACGCTCAAACAAACAAAGCCTTAAAAAGAGAAATCCCTGCCCTCTTTCCTTACTACTTTGTGGACTCAACCAACCTTAACTGAACATTTTAAATTAAGTTATTTGCTTCTCGTTCTTCTAGCAAGTTCTTTTATATTCCAATCAGAAAATTAAAAAGAATTATATTTTCATTTTAATTATAGTATTAGTACATAATGTTTATTTTTGTTGCTTTTGTGTGTAGCTAAAAAGGCGCTTTTAGAGCTGAAGCCATTCTTTACAGATCATAAACTTTTAGTATCAATCGCTGCTGGAATTAAGATGAAAGATTTGCAGGTATTTCAATTTTCAATCAAATTCAAACAATAATCTCACTTTTAATGAATGCCGAGACAGATTTGATCTATGTTTCTTTTGTATTCCATTATTTATCCTAGCATTTACCATTCTGGGATTCTTTAATGATTTTAATGAATAACCTCCTTTCTTTGGGCTTGATATACTTGCGACTTATCTGATTAAAAGAATTGTGGAAAGCACGAGCAGGAATAAAATTCTCTTATTCATAGAAGTGTCTAATACAAGGCAATATATATATATATATATATATATTGCTGGTCTAAGAAGAGAACAAGAAAATTTGTCTGCATAAAAATGGGAAACTATCTATAGCATACAAATAACCTTCTTATGTTAAATATGCAGTTTTTAAATGTAGAGCTTTTTGATATGCTTTTTTGACCTAAAAAGGTTCTGAATTTCCTTCCTTGGCTTGAATCCATGGGATTCTGATTTCCTTTCTTGGCGTGAATCCATAGGATATTGATTTTCTTTCTGGGCATGAATTTGTAGATTCCAATACTCTCCCTCAAGTTGGATAATAGATGTCTTCCATTGATAGGTTGGAGATGATTCCATGAAACATTGCTCTACATTGTCTTTCAGTTAAAATTATCAGCCAGTTGCTTTTCTTAGCATACATAAGACATGCATTTTAAGGGTTCATTTTGGGGTGGCTTTATATTTTTTATAAATGTAGTTATAAAGCTGTTGTGGAAACAATAACTTTTTTGAAAGTGGCTGTTGGTATTATAATTTTTTTATTGAAAAAGTTGGATGGAAGCTTTCTTATAGTTATTGCATATTTGTAGATCTGATTATGAAAAATTGCTTCTTTCTAAATTTTTTTTTTGAAAAGTAATTAGTCAGATTGAAGTGTGACAGTGGTATAAAAAGCAAAATAATTAAAAGTTGCCCAAATATGCCCTAAGATGTCTTCTTGTTTTTTCTTGATGAAGTGTTTGATAATCTCAATATTCTTTTGTATGGTCATATGACTCATATTGTACTAGGTTATCAGTAATATTTATTACTGATTTGTTGTCATAATACAACTTCATAGGTCATTTCGACTCACTTTGCTCATTTAATATAATTTTTTAGCCATGAGAATTTCCAAGTTCCATTTAACATTAGATCTTGTTACTACATTTTGCATTTTGTTCCTTCATGTCACCAAATTTTCATCAAAAAAGTGTGCAATAACTTGATGTTGATCTTCTAGCTACTAGTGAACTTGCATAATCTGTATCTATGTAGGCTTATATGGTGAGTTCTTTTCTCATTTTGAATAGGATTCCTTTACAGAGATTGCCTTTTAAGTAGTGAAACACACGATAGACAATTTGTTGACGTGTGTCTCTCGGTTGATGCATGAACTAATTAATCATGCTAATTGAATATGCAATGTTTGATTAGGTGTTAGCAAAATAGATGAATATTCCTAATACTTTGTGATCCATCTCGTTATAAACAATTCTTCTCTTGCTTTCCCCATTTTTTGATTATGCTCAGTAGGTGTACCCATTGGTTTGTATCCTATTTTCCAGTTTCCTTCATATCTTTGATGAGAGGTAAAGATCTCTTGCTTTATGTATGAGCCTTCAATTCCATGTAATTATTTTAGTTTCTAAGTACTTTTATCTCAAATTCTTTGGTTAAGAGTTATCTCAAATTTTAATTTTCTCCATCACTTTTGGCAACAATAATATCAACATATGCTAAAGATGTTGTAACTCTTCCTTTATTCAAATGTTTGATGAAAAGGATATCATCTTCTTGACTATCTATTTACCTATTTCTCTTCCTCAATTTAGCAAATCTTCCAAACTAACCTTTAATTCATTACGTCATACTTATTTTTAGTATTACATGCTATTAGCTATCTCATTTCCTTCAAATCCTTGAGGAATGCTTATCATTTCCTTATGCATTCAATGATAAAATTTAAAATTTGAACAGAGATACCCCCATTCGATGTTTGGTTGAATGGGGTCTGTTTATTTCTGGGGTACATGGTTAATTACATCTCAAACCTTGGCGCTTGAGAAACTTTTGATTAAATTAGTGGTTTTCTTTTCTTTTAGAAGTCATTTAAATATTAACTAAAGATTGATTTTTTTTGAACCCGTGAAAGTCTTGTTTAAAGGTTTTGGCCTTTAGAAATTTCAAGGGGTGAAAAGATTAACTTAGAATCAGATTTTGAAATTGTCAAAATCCCAATCGTTTATTGGGCTCTTGATCCCACGGCCAAGGATGAAGATCCGTGGGAGACTCACCAGGATTAGTCCATTCTCCTTGCATATTCATATGGCTGATTTAGGAAATATTATATTAGGGTAATCATGAATGATTTTTATTTATTTGTTTCTTTATTAAGATATCATGTATGGATCTATAAATAAGGATGATATTGTGTAATAAAATTAAGCTTCCTTTTTCCCTCTCCAATTATTTGAATTGTAACATGGTATCTGAGCCTCGAAAGAAGTCGAGCGAGAAGAAGGAAGCCGGAGACTAGTGGGACGGAGCCTTACCAGACGAAGGCTGAAGACTAGATCTCACGGAACAAAGTCTTCCCGACGGAAGCCTCGCGGAAGAAAGAAGAAGATGCGACCTTGAAGATCCTTGCGACCGACAAAGGAGCCAAGGCGCGTGCCTACCGATCCAACAGGGAGGGAAAGCATCGAAGGAGCCTACTCGAACAACCACGAAGGAAACGAAGGAGAAAGGAGCCGAGCCATCGTACCTACCGATCCGACCGAAAGGGAAAGTCGACGAAGAAGCGAAGCCGCCTTCCGCTCGTACCTACTGGTCGTGCGTGCCCTAGTTACCCAAAACAAACTGAGTCTTTAAAGTCTTTTTAAAGACTCGGCTTGGTCCGATTAAATAATTGGGAAGATTTTCTGAAAAAAAAATTCTTATTTCGACCTTTATTTTCGATCAAGGAAAATTTTTTGGGAAGCCTTCATTGCTAACTACAGATATACAGATAGTCTTAATTACTATCATAATGTCAGAAATTAATTCCTCCCAGAGTATTGAACAAAATGAGTCGATGGTACACCAAGGGCGAGGTGACCTTCAAAGCATTCAATCTTCCTATCGTCTAAATGGGAAGAACTACCTGAAGTGGTCTCAATTTGTGAAGAACTACTTGAAGGGGAAAGGTAAAATACATCACCTTCTTGGAGGAGGACCAAAAGAAGGAGATCCCAAATTTGGGGCATGGGATGAAGCAGACTCCATGATTATGTCATGGATGTGGAATTCCATGACTCTAGAAATTAGTGATACATTTATGTTCCTTTCAACTGCAAAAGACATATGAGATGGTGCCAGACAAACCTTCTTCAAAGCTCGTGATGCGGCTCAAATCTTTGAAGTTAAAGTCAAAGTTGGAAGCACGAAGCAGGGGAGTAAGACCGTGACGGAATATGCCACCATTCTACAAAATCTGTGGCAAGAACTTGATCACTATAGGTGCATTGAAACCAGATGTCCGGAGGATGCTGCGATCCTAAAGAACTTTATTGAAAAAGATAGAGTTTATGATTTTCTTGCAGGACTCAATGCAGAATTTGACCAAGTTAGAGTTCAGATCCTCGGCAAAGAGGAGACACCATCACTCAACGAAACCTATTTCTCTCATCCGCGTAAAAGAAAAGCCGACGAGGAGTGATTGTAGAATGAAGGCCATTGAAAGCTCAGCATGGTGATGACAAAAGAATCTTCATGGAAGGAGAAAGGTAAAAGATTTCTCAAAAATTAAAGACAAAGACTCACTTTGGTGCAGTTATTGCAAAAATCAAGACACACAAAAGGAAAATTGCTAGAAGATACATGAAAAACCCCCAGTAAGGAGTGGAATCAAAGAACTGAAACAAGTCAGCCCAACCAGAAGCACAGTCCAGTCTTGGAGAATTCAATAAAGAAGATATTGAAAACGAGACGACTCCTATATCTCTTGAAAATCAAATGCATCCTCTTCACTTGCAATCACAGGACAGAAATCGGAAGACGATTGGACGTGCTAAGGAGAGAACTGGATTGTATCACCAAGAAGAACATTAAAAAGTTCCCACTATCAGCCTTCATTGTGACATATAAATCAGCCTTCATGCTGATCAAATCGCCTTCAGCTGATATAATAAATCAGCCTTTATTGCTGGTATAAACAAATCAGCCTTTATTCTATCAAAATCATCATTTATTGCTGATACAAGCAAATCATCCTTTATTGCTGACATGATCAAATCAGCCTTTATTGCTACTATATCACAGTACAACCTTCATTGCTGGAAATTTGAGGAATACAAAATTTTCACCACCGGCCTTAATTGTCGGAATTTTGAGGATAGTTTTCCATCATCGGCCTTCATTGCCGGCTTTCTCTGGTGGTTGATATCCTATCCATAACCAATGCAGCTCTACCTCTGAGCGAGTAATTGCAAGCTGGTCTTCAGCTTGAGGGGGAGTGTCAAAATCCCAATTGTTTATTGGGCTCTTGATCCCACAGCCAAGGATGAAGATCCGTAGGAGGCTCACCAGGATTAGGCCAATCTCCTTCCATATTCGTATGGCTGATTTAGGAAATATTATATTAGGGTAATCATGAATGATTTTTATTTATTTGTTTCTTTATTAAGATATCATGCATGGATCTATAAATAAGGATGATATTGTGTAATAAAATTAAGCTTCCTTTTTTCTTCTCCAATTATTTGAATTGTAATAGAAATGAGCCAAAGAAGGTGAAGTAGTAGTACTTAATTCTGAGAAATCTCAGTACTTGGACCATCTTATGTTGGGTTTTACATTTTAGAAGTCTAATTTTTGTCTAAGTTGATATTTTCATTAGAATGTTGGGGCTTACATTCCAACAACACTTGTTGGGGGAATTTCCTAGAAGATGAAGACTTATATAGTGACTGGAATCAAACATTTGCCTCGGATCCTTAAACTAAGGTGAGGACTATATAGAGGTAGTACCTCGA